AACTTCTACTATAAGCCTTAACATGTGCTGAAGTCACAAGACTGCTCTGACTGCTGATGAGAAAAGGTATTTAGCAGTTTTATATATACTAAAATAATTGCATTTCCATGCTTTGTGCGCTGTGGGAGACTATATATAGCAAATGCAGGGTTCTGGGTTTAGTAACACTTTAAGCCCTGTTTTATCATAAAAATTAGCTATTGCAGCCAAGGTTGATGCATGTGTTCACTTCTGCAGGACTAACCACTTAAAGTGTTACTAAACCCACAACAGTAAAATTAGTCTGTACAGTATATGCATGCTTGGTATACTCACTGTGGAATCGAAGGGGTTAATCCTCTGCAATGTGTAAAAAGGCTGTTTGATCCTGTCTTCTCTGCTCCTCCTCTTGTTCAAATGTCCACATCTTATGATCAGACTAAACCCATGGCCATTCTGCACATGCTTAGTTTGGTGAGTATTGCTAGATAGTTTTTTTTTTCTTGGGAGAGTGCATGTGATCAGCACAGGGCCAATCAGCACTATCTAGACAGAGGTAAGGGGTCCTGTATCCTCCTAGAGCATAAAGAACACGCCTCCTACAAGCTTTAACCAGTGCTCTGCTGAACACTGATAGAAGTTAAAAGACTGCTTTAACTGCTGATGAGAAAAGGTATTTACCGTGCCCCCATCCGATATGTGCTGTCATTCGATACAGCACAAGTCATTCAGCATGGTTCCAGCCAATGATTTATGGCTGGGGCCTGCTCACCGACTTAGTGAACCACAGCACAGAGCCCTGTGTTTACTAACAACACAGGGCTCTGTGCAGATAGCAGTGCTGTAGCTGTGTTTTTTCTCCCTGAAAAGCAAGGAGAAAAATCAGCCACATCTTTCAGAAAAAGCAACACATATTACACACATTAATTTGTTTGAGACACAGTTAACCCTTTGATCGCCCCTAGATGTTAAGCCCTTCCCAGCTAGTGCCATTAGTACAGTGACAGTGTACATTATTCACACTGATCACTGTATTAGTGTCACTATTAATATCAGGGTCAGTCAGTGTTACTCTCAGCCAGCATCAATGTCAGATTGCCCACCATAGTTCCACTAGAAGTCACTGATCACCACCATTACTAGTATAAAAAACAAGCAAACAAACAAACAAATAAATAAAAATGCTATAACTTTCATACAAACCAATCAATATACACTTATTGGAATTTTTTTTAACAAAGACATGTAGCAGAATACACATTGGCTTAAATTTATGAAGAAATCCGATTTTTTTTTGTTTTTTTTTGGATATGTTTTATCACAGAAAGTAGAAAAGATTGCTTTTTTTTCACAATTTTGGGTCTTTTTTCGGGTAATAAAATAAAAAATTAAAGCCCATTGATGATTAAAATGCTCTATTTGTATGAAAAAATTGATATAAATTTAATTTGGATACAGTGTCGCTCAAGCATGCAATAGCGCAGTGCCGAATAGCAAAAAACAGCCCGGTCATGAAGAGGGAAAACTTTACGGCACTTAAGTGGTTAAAGAGACACTCATTTTCCCTGAATATCCAATTACCAGGCCTTAGCACTGTCATATGGGGGGACCCATGATGTCCTCCTCCTGTCTAAGCTCTGACACCTGTCAAGTTTTTATTGCTGGGAAACAACAAAGAGAACATGCTCTACTGCAAATTACCAGGGAGAATGGCTATTGATGCTCTGGCCCAGATGCCTTTAAATTGTAGCAACAGTCCTCTAATACAATGAAGCCAGCTACTCGCTAACCAGCTTCATAGCTGAGTGCTATGAGTAAGGCTTTATCGAAATTTTGTCAGCATGCTACCACTGTATCCTGCCATATAGTCAATAAAGAATTGTTGCAATGGATGTTACTGAGTAGCCGCCTAATTGTATTCAAGGTTTTTATTGCTGTCCCTGTTAGAGAGATTCACCCTTTCTATTTGTCCTGTTTACCGTTATCGTTGAAAGTGAAAAAAAAAAGAAAATCCTACATTTTGGATTATCCCCAGGACAGTAATAGAGGGGAAATCTTCCAATTCAGAAACTAGTTATGATGACCTGGGGCTTTGCCTAATTGGGAGGGATTTCCTCTCACTTCCTGTTTAGGCTATGGGACAGGAGGTGAAGGTAAATTTCCCCAATGGGACACAGGGGGCAAAGAAAAACTTGGGTATAACCCTCCCTTGCTCATTCCAAAATGATTGATAAAAAATTGTCTATAGTTAAAGTTCCTCTTTAAGTGTCCCCATTGAAGATATTTTTCCTTATTTCATTTCCATAAGACATATGTCAGACTTGACAAAAAAAGAAAGGAAATTTCCCCAGACAGGACACAGACAGAATCTAAAGGATGAGGAAAAAAGTAAGACATTTGCTAGATGTATTAGCTGTTGTAATATTCCTGAAAGAAGCAACAACATAAACAGTAACAACATCAGCAAAGAGTTTGTTTGTCTATGTAACAGAGAAAAAAGAAGCACATGGTCAACACTATGAGGGCTCAGGCACATGGGCATCAATCTCCATAGCAAGTCAAATGCAGCAAGAGATGTAAATCCAACATTTCATATTCCTGATATGTGCCTGCAGTACCATGTATCCAGTTCTCTTTGTATTGCTTCCTTTGTGTGAAATCCTTGGTGTTCCTGCCAGTCCCTTGATTTCCTATTAAAAATTGACCACACTAAACAGGGGAGGACAGCATGGTCAGTTTTCTTGTTGTAGTGGGAACTCAGGCTGCTCTCCTCCAATCATCAGGGTTGTCCTGACACCTCCAACACACACACAACCTTTCACTGGGAAGATCAGTGTGATGCTATTTTTCCTCCCCCAGTTTTATGCAGCTGGGAACAAAGGGAATGTGATCACTTAAAAGCTTATAATTTTTTTATATCCATACACACATGTTTTGCCTTTCATTTCCATTTTAACCACTTGCCGACCCACCGCACTACTTTTACTGCAGCGGGTCAGCAGCTACAGCAGTACTGTTATGTTGCTACCTGTTTCCGGGTCTGGGGAGCCTGCCTACTCCCCTGTGATTTAACACAGCAGGAATTCGTCAACAGATCCTGGCTAATGATTCCTTACCAGGACCCACTGATTGGCTGTGTTAAATCACAGCCTAGAGTTCTGTGTTGTTAAACAACACAGAGCTCTATACAAACAGAGCAATCACTTTGTTTTTTTCCCTGCTAAGGAGGGAGAAGAAATGCATCGATCTGTGGTACAAAATAGCACACAGTCAATACATTAACACTTGCTGGGCACACAATTAACCCCTTGATTATCCCTAGATGTTAACCCCACCCCATCCAGTGTCATAGTACAGTAACACAGTATATTTTTAGCATTGATGACTGTATTAGTGTCACTGGTGATGTCAGTGTCAGTTAACCAGTGCCCACAAAGTGTCAGTTAGTTTCAGATTGCCTGCCGCACTATCACAGTATCGCTTAAAGCCACTGATCACTGCCATTACTAGTATATCTAAAAAATAAATAAAATAAAATTCCAGTATATATCCCATAGTTTGTAGATGGAAACCAATTAATATACACCTTTTAACCAAAAATATGTAGCAGATTACATTTTGACCTAAATTTATGAAGAAATTAGATTTCTAAATCTTTTTTATTGAATATGTTTTATGACAGAAAAGTAAAAAATATTGTTTTATTTTCTTTTTAAAATTTTAAGGTCTTTTTCATTAATATAATAAAAAATAAAAAAAATCCAGTGGTGATGAAACAGCACCAAAAGAAAGCTCTATTTGTGTGAAAAAAAAAAAAAATATAAATTGAATTTGGGTACCGCGTTGCTTGACTGTACAATTGTTAGCTAAAGTAGCACAGTGCTTAAAAGAAAAAAATGGTCTGGTCATGAAGAGGGCAAAACGTTAAGTGGTTAAACTGAATGGGTTGTTTTACAAGGTGATGGTTTATAACAGGGGCGGATTGACAACTCATGGGGCCCCCGGGCAATAGGGGATTATGGGGCCCCTGTATCCTTGCCCAAACTCAAAAAAGTCTATGAAAAAGGTACCAGGGGCATCTCACGAGACCCCCTACTGACCCCGGGCCTTCGGGCAGTGCCCGAGTTTCCAAATGGTCAGTCCGCCCCTGGTTTATAATCACTTTAAGCTGCTTTTGACTTCCTCTGTAAGTTGTTTTTGAGTTGTATGGACAAGAAAATCAGTTCAGATGTAAAAAACAACACAAGCCCTTTCTCAGTTTATAATCTAGCACAATACCGGTGTGAGAGTGACATCAGCCCTCATCTGTCAATCAAGATGGCCAAAGACCTCCACCCAGGGAAAAGCTTCTGGTGCCGGTGAGGGACCTCACAGAGTCAGGCCATCAAAGGTATGTATTTCAAACTTTAGTTCCTCTTTAAAGCAGCTTCCTTGGCTGTAAAGGATAAGAGGGTTTAGTTATGCTTTACTATCCCTTAAAAAAATAATAAGAAGAATTAAAGTAAATACAGTGGTTCCTTATTCTTCCTATCTGCTTTAGCAGACAACTCTAAATTATCTGCAATAAGCACACAGTATAGGGCACTAATATGCAGAAACCTATAGCTCAACTCTAGCTCTCAAGTGGTCATAGGTTCTTTACCTGAAGCAGGTCTCTATCAAGACTTGTGGGTTGGAGTTCCTTTAACCTCCTTCAGTCCACCATATAAGGAAATGACGGACGGGTGATGGTTCTCTCATTCTGGGAGTATGGCAGATAACGTCCTCCTACCATAACTGCGCATGTGCACCCTCAGGGGCCTATGGCACGGCCATCAGTGGTGTATCCCTGGGATAGAGAGGATCACCGATAACTGTAAAGAGCCGATGATGTTGGCTTTGTCACTTGATCAGCTGTGTCCAATCACAGCTGATCACATGTAAATAGGAAATGCCAGTTATCGGCAGTCCTCTCCTCATGCTGTCAGCTCATTTACAATGATCATCAGGGCACTGATGCCACATATCAGTGCCTACCAGTGCCCATCAATGCCACATATCAGTGCCCATCAGAGCTGCCTTTCAGTGCCACCTATCAGTGTCGGTCAGTGCCGCCTAACTTTCCCAATCAGTGCCGCCTATCAGTTCAAGTCAGTACCACCTGTTAGTACCCATCAATGCTACCTGTAAGTGCCCATCAATGCCACATACCAGTGCCCATCAGTGCACATCAATGCCACATATCAGTGCCTGCCAGTGCACATCAATGCCACATATCAGTGCCCATCAGAGCTGCCTTTCAGTGCCACCTATCAGTGCCAGTCAGTGCCGCCTATCAGTGCCATATGTGAGTGCTGCCTTTCAGTGCCCATCAGTGATGCCTGTCAATGCCCACATGTGATGCCTGTCAATGCCCATCAGTGCCACCTATCAGTGCCCATCAGTGCATCCTATCAGTGCCAATCACTGCAGCCTCATTAGCACACATCAGTGAAGGAGAAAAATTACTTATTTACAAAATTTTAGAACAGAAACTAAGAAAAAACTTTTTTTTTTCAAAATGTCTTTTTTAGTTTGTTTAGCAAAAAATAAAAAAAAAAAGTGGGGATTAAATGTCATCAAAAGAAATTTCTATCTGTCTCAAAAAAAAGAATAAAAATTTAGTTTGGGTGCAGTATTGCATGACCGTGCAATTGTCATTCAAGGTGTGACAGCGCGTAAAGCTGAAAATTAGCCTGGGCAGGAAGGGGGTAAAAGTGCCCAGTAGACAAGTGGTTAACATACAGGGAGGTATACTAATATAAGGAACGTAAGGAGATCAGAAGCACTACTCCACATAACTATACTTAGGAATCCAAGTTTGTTTTTACACTCAATTGCCCAAATGAAAATATAGTTGTCATTTAGAACATAGCCTTCACTGTAGTCGGAGTGGTCAGTGTTATATAATCTTAATATGCTTGATTTATTGGTTTTATGTTGTGTCACAAATGCTGATGATTGCCAGGAGTGGGTAATATAGCTGTTCTTGCTGCACGTTTTCATAGATTTCAATACATTAAAAACGTTTGAACATAATTGGATTTGCAAACAATTTTACATATCAAAAACGATGAACTTGGAATTTTAAATGCTAGAAACAAGGCAGACACTAACAAAATAGCTGCAAGGAACTTTGTCATCGAACAACTAATGTTTTCTAATTTGGTTATTGAGCATCTTAGTGTCTGTAATACAGTAGTATTAAAATCTTGCATCCAGCATACTTATTGCCAAAACGTGATTGTTTGCTGACTAGTGTTTTCATTCATATTCTCCGCATGCTGAATGGCTCTGAAAATTGTATAAAAAGCAAATATCGCTTTAGCAGGGTTTGTAAACAAACCAATGTATAACGCATAAAAACATAATGTGGTGATATTGGGCTTGTGGTTCCTAGACAGGTTTTTATGGAATTCTGCCAATAGGGCATAAAGACGTATGGTGCTTTTACGAACCTGCGGGCAAGAGATGCAGCTTTTAAACACATCTGCTCCAATCCCACAGTTCCTGGCTATATTATTTATCAGGAATAGAAGTGGTGGTAACAAGCACAAGCCAGAGGGGTGTTAGAGGAGAATCAGGAGGCCGAGTAATCATCACCAATTTGGGAACAATGCTGCAGATAATTATTGAAGAGAGACATGCCAGGACCTTGCTGCTTTTATGGAAATGTGATGGGTTGCAAAACATCTTGTGCTTAAAAAAGGCTCGGTAATGTATGAAAAGTAATACAGCATAACAGCATATATTCATTGCTAGCCTGCTTATAAATACCTCTTCTTTTAGGAAGAGCTGGTACAGTACCTGTGATTGGAAGCTTTGATTGTTTCATTATGTGGCTCTGAAAGCACTGGCTTTGGCACTTGCTGCTTTTATTTTTGTAATATCTATGGTGTGTATTTTTGAAATAATGGAAGCACAGCACCAGCAGCTCGGTATAAGACCAATTTAAATATATGTGTTCTCTAAAGTGTTTGTTTTTTTTCCAACAAACAATTATATTAAAAAAAGGTTATGATGCAGTTATTAGACATACAATAATTTATAACGACAAGCGTGGTTTGTTGTACAAATAATAAAACAAATAAGACATAAATTATCGCCCTATCATCAAAGCAGGGGGAAGAGTGGATGAAGCAATTTGTTCCTGGAAAGTCAAAGATCTTCCATTCATTGTACATTTTACACAAATGTGGCAGAAATTATGATAAGGCATGTAGCAACATTGTTATAACTGTATATATTGTAATGTGCTTTATACTGTATCTATCATTCATTCTATACATAAATGCATATAAAAATCCAATTTCAATGGTTTTAATTAAATCCATTCATACTTTTATGCTAGAAAACAAAAACACATGTGTCACATATCTGGTAGACAATTGTATGGTATGTATGGTAAATTTTGTGCTTCTCTTTAAAAGTGAAGCTCAGTTTAGGTATTATTGCAATGTGTAGCTTAAAGTAGATGTAAACCCTAACTGAATGACATTCAAATTGCCAAAAAATGACATTTTTATTTTTAGTTATATTTCTATGCTGATGATATCCTGCAGCCTTTTTGCATCCACTGCATGTCTACACGAATACACTCCTGCCACTCCTGAACTACAGGCAGTTTATACTTACCTTTCCTTTAATGGTCTCATCCCTCACCACCATTTTCTCCTGTGTGCTGGTTTTCAGCCATATTAATTGGCTTGCAGGGGATGATGTCACTCCTACACATATCCAGGAGGCCATCATTCTGGAACACAGGGAACGGGCTAGCCATTATAAACTGAGCTGCTCATGCGCAGCTCAGTTTACATGGCAGGGGATGCTACAAAAAGGCAGGTAAGTGTATTTGGTTGCAGAAATTGACAGCAGTGGTGAGGGGTTCCTTCAATTATATACCAGACCCTTCAAATTTGGTAAAAATTTCAAAGGAGTACTGAGCACAAGAAATGGAAGGTACCTGGCCACAAAAGACCCCTTGCAAGGCACCTTGTTCCCATGATGTGGGAGACAAGAGCCTCTCCCCCCCCATCCCTGGCCCAGTGGTTGGGGAGCTAACTGGTATCCGAATATCCTTTAAAATAAGGAGGCCCTTAAGTACCCCCTCGTGTGAATAAGTACAGGGCACCCCTATTCATTCACAAAAAAATAGAAAGTAAATAAACACACTACACACAAGTTCTTTATTAAGGAAGAAAAATACCCCATAGTGTAAATCCATTGCCATCATGTGGCCCAGTGATGTAAATTATAGTCATTCATGATAAACAATGAACTGTCAAAACAAAACCGACTAGTTGATGTGCTTGGATCACACTCCGAAATGTGAATGACATCCCTGAGCCTGCAGCTTATTAGTAAGCAAGGGGGTGGGGATAGTGGCTTATCTCATTGAACAATTATGACCATGGATATAACCATGTATGGCCATGTAACTTCAGAGATATCAACTTAATACACACCGTTTCATAGTTTTCTTAGACCAGCCTTTTAAATAGGGGGCCTTCAGGTTTCTTCGGGGGTGCCTTAGCAAAACTGCCCATAAATTATATACAGGACAGATTTGGATCAAAGAAACAACCAGAGGGTGCATGGGCCTAGTGCGTTAACTTTTTAAAAGATCATTTATTCAATAAATAAGTGGTAATATACTCACAAAGGAATTGAGTATATTGCCACCTATTTATTGAATAAATGATCTTTTAAAAAATGAATGCACTAGGCCCGTGTGCCCTCTGTTTGTTTCTTCGTATGCAGTATTCTGGATCCCCCTGGTCCGTTGAGGGCAGCAAGGCCTACAGTTTCCAGGCATCCCACTTGTGGTCTCATACCTTTGTGGAGTCCATCCTCCAGTGCAGGAGTATATATTTATACCATTCTTTGTCAGAGGTTGGATCAAGCCTGTCTTTCAGTTACAAACAATCATAAGTTTTCATTCTACATTATTACAACCTTTTAGCCACTGGCATTGTAAAATCTGATGATATCATTGTTTGATAAGAAGGATGCTGGGCGCCTGCACAGAATCCTTGTTTGCCCTCCCCTGCTTTCTGTCAGCACTGGGGTCACATTAGCTGAGTGAGGGAGAGAAACTGAGGGAGAAGAGAAACACCAGAATACTAGTCAGTACCAGTGTGCAAAGGTGTATTTGCTTTAGGAGAATAAATCACATCTAACATCAGGTGTACTATGTGTGTGATGATGTTGCTACATTATGTAAACAAATAATTTAGTTTTTACATTTTAAAATGAGGTGCCTCAAGATTGTGAAATATTTTACAGGGTGACTTGACTGGAAAAAGGATTCAGAAACACTGTCTGAGAGTGTGCATGCTTTTTTAGAGTCTACTGCCACATACAATACGTACCAACACTGATTTTCCCAAGAACACTCAATCCACAGATGTCATCTAAAATGTATCAGCTAGCTACTGTCAGTCGTTATAATTTACTGTGAGGTCTGTATTCTGCAGCATTGTGTTGCCAGAGCCTTTCATTGTACTTTTTTCTGGATTGTTGCTTTTGTGTCCTCTGTTGCTTTTCTGTAACTTAACAAGCAGTTCTGAACTCAAAACCGAATCTTGCAACCAGGGGCGGACTGACCATTTGGAAACTCGGGCACTGCCCGAGGGCCCGGGGTCAGTAGGGGGCCCCATGAGATGCCCCTGGTACCTTTTTCATAGGCTTTTTTGAGTTTATGCTAGGACACAGGGGCCCCATATCCCCTATTGCCTGGGGGCCCCATGAGTTGTCAGTCCGCCCCTGCTTGCAACCATGTGTAGATAATAATTTCATTGCTTCCTATATTAATGACAGCTTAATGTTCAAGAAATGTCTTCCGTCAGAATTGTTATTGAATGTCAAATGTCCCTATCTTTCTATGAAGAAGATTGCAATATTAGATATCTCTGTGTAACTAGCAAAGTTCTACATTTCAACACAATATAGCAGAAAATCTACTGTTATAAGGAAGCAATTGCAATTAATTGCATAAATCTAATACTTTTTTCATTAGTGCTAGAACAGCCTTCTAAAACCACAAAGCTTGTCCACCCTTTTTGGAAGTCATAATTCTTATTTATTAATGAAGTTTGATTCTGGGTGGACTTCCAAACAAGTGCCACATGGGTTTTTTAGGCACTCACATACAACTTAGATTGAAAAAGTACAGAATTGTTTTTATTACAATCTGACAATAAAATGGTTAGAGCAAAGGAAGCCATCATACAGACAGATGTATTTGTTCGCATACAGAATAGTACACCCGGCGTGTTTTGATTCACAATGAATTAATTCTTCATTACTTCAGACTTCATCACTATATTGGTAGGCTCTGTGGATATAAACATATGTTTATCAAGATAGAAGCTCATAATCATTATGAAATATCACTACATAATTATACAGACAAAAAACTTACAAATATCAAAACCATTGCT